AAGTCTCAAGACCTCTAAAAAGAGTAGACATGGACTTATGTGGCCCTTTTTTCACACTATTGTGGCATGGGAAAAGATATATGCTCACAATTACTGATCAGTTTACAAGATTTAAATGGGCACTCTATCGAAGCGATAAGTAAGAGCTGGTTAAATGTATTAAGAAATGGTGTATTGAAGCAGAGAACAATCGATATACCCATGGAGATGGTGAAAAACTTGAGGCTATCAGATTTGACAGAGGAACAGAATTTCTTAACAATACCATGAAGAAGTGGGCCTCTGAAAATAACATTAATCTTGAACCAACTGTTGGCTATTGTCCAGAGGCAAATGGTATTGCCGAAAGAGCAAACCGAACTATTATTGAAAAAGGAAATAGTCTATGCTTTCAAGCTGGGCTACCAATTAAATTTTGGGAACTTTCATTCAGAGCTGCGACATATTTGTGCAATATGCAACCTATTGGAGGAATAAACACCACGCTATGGGCCTCAAAGTACGGAACCAAACCAGATATAAGCCACTATAAAGTTTGGGGCTGTACTGCATATGTACATGTCCCCAAAGAAGACCGTGGAAAGCTTGATAAGAAATGCTGGAAGGGTAGTTTTGTCGGATATAAAGAAAATACATCAAAAATTTACCATATATGGCACCCCGAAAAAAACCTGCTGAAGGAAGCTCAATTGATTGACTTTGATGAGGGGAGCTTCATCAATAATGAGAAATCTCCCAAGGTGTAAGATCTACAATTAATCGAAGACGAGGATTCAGGCAATGATAGTGACTACCCTATAATTCCTAGGCAACCAGAAATATATTGTTCTCCAAACAACATGTCTAATGAAAATCAGCAATATCCAAATACTCAGAATCTAGAATCTGAACCTCAGGATGAGATTGAACAGAATTGTGATGCCTCTCAGCTAGACCCTACAGTTTCTACAGGCCAAATTCTATCAGAACGTCAGCAATTGGCAACTTAATGTCAAATAACAAATATTGAACAAGTTCGGATTTTAGAGCAAAAAGCTGTAGAAAGAGGAGATAGGCGATCAGGAAGAGAACGAAAACCGACATCCAAATCTTTTGAAATGCAAAACCTTCGGCAAAGATCTAATGAGGCTATTGAGCAAGCTTCTTCTGTAGCTCAAGATGAGCAAATTTATGTTCCTGCGTTATATAATGATGCACTCTGCAGTAAATATGCAGAAAAATGGGCAGAGGCATACAAATCTTAAATGAATTCACTAGTCAACCACGGAACATTTTAAGGTCCTTTAGACAGTGTTCCTGCCAGTAAAAAAATATTGTTACAGTGAAAATTGTATTGGATCTGAAATTAGGGGAGGACAATGAAATCTTGCGATATAAAGCTCGACTAGTGGCCCGAGGATTCTCACAGAAATATGGTATAGATTTTGAGGAAACTTTTGCGCCAACTATTAGACTTGATACCGTGCGCATTATACTAGCTATTGCTGCCAGGGAATATTGGGAAGTGTACCAGATGGATGTTGTCACCGCTTTCTTAGCAGGGGAGCTAGATGAAGTAGTTTATCCATAGTACCAGATCACATGCTCAAGCGTTTTGAAAGGTATGTTCGTGTTCTGAAGAGCTTGTATGGCTTAAAACAGGCTGCATATGTGTGGTACCTACTGTTGTCAGATTTTCTACTTTCAATTGGCTTTTCGTGCATTCTAACAGATCAGACAGTCTTCACAAAAGAAGAGATGAAAATAGTGATTGGTATCTATGTAGATGATTTATTGATCACTGGGCCATATGAAAAAGAGATTTTGCGGGTAAAAGATCTACTGAAAGGGAGATTTGAAATGAAAGACCTAGGTAAGGCTAAAAACATTCTTGGAATTCGCATTACACAAACTGGGGGTCAAATAAAAATAGATCAGTCTAAATGTGCGAAAACCATTGTCAGGGATTTTTCCATCTCAGGCTCTAAGATATACTCGACCCCAATGGCAAGTGATGCAGGAGGTGAATTGGAGCGTACGCCTGGAAGATTCTGTACTGAGGAAGAATTGAATAATTATTGGAAACTACCAGGAAAGCTTATGTATTTGTGTAATACCAGACCAGATATCATATTTTCAACCCACAAGATGGCACAGTATTCACATAAAGCATGCCGAAATCACTGGTTAGCACTACTTAGGATCCTGAGTTACATCGAAGGCACTATATACCACGGAATAATATATGGAAAAGCGACTGATGATATCCCTTATTATAAGGTTGACCATAATATCGAAGTTTATTGCGGAAGTTTTAGAGCCAACAATCTGATCACCTTTGCTGATGCAGACTATGCTTGTGATTTAAGCGACCGAAAATCAATCACAGGTGTTATTATGATGCTAAATGGAGGAGCTGTTGTAGCCATCAGTAAGAAGCAAACTAGTGTTGCCACATCATCTACAAATGTAGAATATATGGCTGCAATCTAGGGAGGAAAGCTTATATCCCAAATCACAGATGGACCAGAGGGACCAGTACCACTGCTGCTAGGAGATAATGTTGTGCTCAGCTAAGGTAGCCCTGGCAGGTAGCGCATGGAGGGTGAGTGTGTCATCAAGGTACCTCAGGAATGGACAACTCACATGACATGTTTGGCGCATCTGTTCAGGCAAGGCATACTGGATGAGTAAGCATGGTAGGCATATGATTCGCTGGCAAGCGAGCCGATGGGGTATAAAATGGGAGAATTTCCCACTGTGAATTAGAACACACACATCCATAGAGTCACTTACAATCCACTCTAGATAACCTCATATCTTAGCCGTCAAATGCAAGTGTACGTTCCCCATTTCATATACCAAGTAAAGCAGATAATAAGGCATGCATCCAGCTTCAATGGGGAATATCAAATACTTCCAAAATTAAACATGTTGATGTAGCCTTCCACCATATCATTGACAAAGTAGGAAAAGGAAGACTGTAGAGCCGCTGGATTAGTGGGGACAACATGCTAGCAGATGGATTAACCAAACCTCTACCCGGGCCAGCATTCAAGGAGAAGAGAGCCGCAATAGGACTAGTAGAAAACTTCATATAGGACCAGCAGGGATAAGGGGAGTGTTGTGAAGTAAGATGGTCAGATCACTTGGTGTTAGCGTTGCTCGGACCTTTCACTTATATCTCTGCTGGTCAGGCTAGCATGTAGAGGTAGTCAATCTAATATATACCTATTCAACATAGCGATGTGAAGAGTCTACTGACCACGTGCGCTAGCCATAAGCGGTTAGATATTGCCGGACAATCACAGAATAGCGCCCAGAGGTATATGCAGACTCTCAAGGCGAGGTTAGGACAGTGTTCCACAGGGTGCGTATGTGGTCTAACAAAGATCTAGATAGTAGATGAAGGTGACGAGTGGGTCGAAGGGATGACTGGTCTTCTCTAGGAAGAGACAAATAGGTAGATAGTAGCGATAGAGGCTACACGTGGGTCTTGCTGATGAAGAGCTGGAAATAGATAAATGGTCTTCCCGAAGAAGAGATGGGTAAACAAATGTATTGTTAAGGTAATTGAAGAAGACGTTGCGTGAAGAATAATGCTTCTTCACGCCGAGAATTTATATACATAAAATTACCAAATAGCACGTAGCACACAGCCCCTATGCCAAACAATCTGCTACACATCACCTAATGAAACCAGCCCATTATTATCAGTCTTCCTTGCTGGTTTTAGAAGTGCATTGAACTATTATTTGTGTTTTAACTTAGCCGTCCGCATGGCGTTTCATAATACGCTATGCCACAATGATCCATGAAACAGACCTAGTGCACTACCGGAACTATATAACTGCTCCCGCTCCCGAGTAATGGACTAAGGACTGCGGAACTGAGTCATTTTATGGGAATGATTGGAGCGACGCTGTGGTGTGTAAACAACCCACAGGCGCGAACCATGGACTGGATTGCTGTTGTTCCTGAACAGCTAGGTTCAGGATCGCTTAGCTGGGTTATTACAAGTAAGTGATTGAGGCATTGCAGCGATGCCCACTCGGACCGCGCGCGCCAGCTACCGGAACAGTCGATGCCTCCCATGAGAGATAGACTCATAAGCTGCTGAGTTTTACCTAGGCATGCTGTTGGCAGTAAGTTAGGAGAGAGAGCGTAGACAATGACAAGGGTCATATTAGAGTATATAAGTAGTCTATGTTCTGTCTCATGTACAGTATTGGAAAAGTACGGGAAAAGTATCAGACACCTGCCAACAATCATCTTACCAATTCCTTACCATCTCAGAAACAGAATTTATGACAAGTGCCAAGTAACTATGTTCCCAATTAACTCATAACCTCAACAGATGAGCCTTGAGCGAGTTGCACAAGAGAGCCAAGTCTAGCAGGATGCGCGAATGAATGGAGCAAAAGGACTAAGCCCTTCATACCTGTCAATAAATGTATCCTACTTCAGCTTTTCTCAGCTATTTGACCTGGCTACACACGATAACCCTTCACCAGGTCAATACAACAGACCATGCCAACCAGGAATACCATCTGGCTTAGCATTGAAGTTGAGGTAATCTACCAGATTTATGTCTTGGCAGAATGATATTTAATCTTTCCATGTATGCAACAGTAATCTTGCATGATTCAGACAATCAATGACATAAAAGGCCTTGGGGAAGAGGATCGCACCCTTGTTTCTTCGTTGCTTTATACCATTGGTCTGTTGGCGGCAGCTGCAGAGTCATTAAATTCTCAATCATCATGTTGGCACTACATGGTGTCTCCCCTAAAGTTGAAGTTTATTAGATACGTTGTCCCTAACACAAGGATCATATAGAACTTCAACCAATATCATCTTTAATATTTGCTACAGAATCATTGGCCCAGATCAATAATTTACACTATTTTATCGACATCAGATCTACCTTGTAATTCTTATCCATTGGGCCTTAGTTGTCTCATCAGACTCCCGACTTTCTCAAGTCCATATTTAAGCTCCAAAAGATAGACGCTCTCTCAATGAAGATTCTCAGTGCTATTTCCGCCAGCACTTTTCCTGTTTTGTTGCTCCTAGGGACTGTTGTGCAAGGATATGTGCTAAAGTGTGCTACTGGCAAAGAGTTTGATAACAGACATATAGGCGAACTTGCATCACAAGCTGAATATCAATATAATCATCACAGCTACCCTTTAGGTCCGGATGGGAGAATATGCAAGGCCCATGAGTTTGATATTCCATTGGCACATAGTCAGTCCTCTTCGCACTCAGCTTATACTATTGCTGACCTTACCCTTTTAGCTAGAGCTACAATTTCGTACTTAGTCCAAGTATGTGAAAGTATGGAGGGCTACAGACTATATGAATGGTACAATTCTAAATGGGTTATATGCGAATAATATGACATCAAGCCGTAGTTAACACGATGTTTTTCCAAATGAAATCAAGGGGTTCATTAGATTGTCTAGAAATATAGGGCAGATGTGTGGTACAAGAAATGAAAAAGTGCAAGATGGAACAAAATGCTTCGCTGCCTTTTACACAGCTGCAGATAAAAATTTGAAATTGTGTCTCATTTCAACTTTTATGTACCTGATTTCCACTTTCTTACCTTCTGCACTGTTAAAATATGATTTAGCTTGGAAGGCCAAGAGTAACAAATTTGTTGGCCTTGCTAATTAGGCTAGATAATTCCCAATCCTATGTTAATGTTATCAGTAGATCCACCGCAGAAAGTTTGATGTGCAATAGCATTAATCTCATACTTAAATTGCAGTGGATGACTGTCTCAAATGTGTCAGAGAGCACTGTTACAAACCATATCTGGGATGTTGCGTTGCACCTAGTCTACCAAGTCATGACATGCATACAATAACAAAGTTAAGGAATTGTTGGAAAATATACTCTGTATGATATTATATGGATAAATATGATGAAGTAAAGAAGACTTGATATTTTACAACTATGTGAACATTGGACTTATTTATACATATTAGGGGAGAAATTCCCACTAGTCTCATGTGCCTGTCAAACCTAGTGATGACCAGCCACCTCTCATCTACCATGATGATCCAAGGTACACTGTAGTACGTAAATATCCAATTGTAAATGCAACAGTAGGCACGATTAGCGCACTCGTGACATGTGTAGAGAGAGTCAATCTTGTCGGGAACCTCAGACAAAACAGGTAGTGGTTGAGTCCTAAATTCGAGAGTGTCACGGCTTGTGAGCCAATAAGCCCTGTAGCCTTCGATGGCTATCGAAGGCAACCTATATTATCTATCACTCCGAGGATTATCAGCAGACGAAAACTGATATGAGATCGCCACTGAGGCTACGTAAAGGATAGTGCCAAGAGTATTGGAAGCGTTACCCGTGTGGCAGAACAAACCTTACGTCAGTTTCATTGCCACTGTAAACCTAGGCTAGATTTAGATACCTCTGGATGTGTATAAGTAGTAGAGGAGACTTGTAGATAGTTTGCTTCTACATAGATGAATTATAGCTTTACCTTTCAATCATACAAATGCCCATTCGCTTTCTATATTTGAACTGTGACAGAGAGTCAGAATTTCCAACAGGAATAGCAATAGTTACAGTGTTTTGATAGCAACAGTTGGCATCGAAGCACTAGTTAGCTGCTGTGTTAAAGCTGTGGACTATTACACCCTTGGTAATAGTATTGTTAAATGACCTAATGACTTAATGACCTTTCATGTATTATCTTATAAATGATGACTAATTATGTTGATGAGTAATTGGTTACCTGTTTAGGAATGGCTCCAGGAGAGAGTGATGTCACGGTTTCGAGGGACAAGTACTGGGGAAACTATGTGGTCAATGGTAGTAAATAATAATTATAAGGAGAGAACTTCCACTGCGTCTATCTAGTCATTTATATACGTGAAAGCCTCCTCGCCACCGAGGCTAATACCTCTCCTTTTTCTATGCTATTGGGCTCTCCTAGTGTTCTGACAACACCTGTAATACAGCACTATCGCGTTGTGGTCCGGAAGGATTGTACTCGGTCTCGTATATTCCCACTTAGTGTAAGCCTATCAACATGTGGTGCAGTGCCGTACTGCCGTGCCGCACTGCCGGGTCCGATTCCATGTGAATACAATGCAGATGCCGACGCAAAAGTATTGTATTGGGTGGCGTTGCATATTAGCGCATTGGTAGTCATTAACAACGCCAGTCGAATCAGGCCTAAGTTAATCAACATAGGCTACAGGGACCAGTCGGCTTACCAACCGTTACAAGGGACAACTGCTGTATATACGTGTTTCATTTAGTTAGGATGGAAGAAATAGAAAATAAATGTTAACCACCAATTGTTATTACTGCTACAAATAGCTTGTGATATAAATACCACCCGAGTATTCCGACAAGTATTGATGCTCGTGTACTTAAGGAAACTCTAGGACCGGATTTGTACTGTAGCTTTTTATCTTATAAATTACTAATTTTTTAATCAAATCATTAATCTAAATATCTCATCTTCATCTTTGTCCTCGCACTCGTCTATGTCCACGATAAATACATATAGTATCACAGGTGGATCACGTTGGAACGGAGTCACAAGCAGATCGGAGATACGAGAGGATGTTAGAAATACAGTCTCAAGGGCGAGGTTAGGACAATGTTCCACAGGGTGCATTTGTGGTCTAACGAAGATCTCGGTGGTAGATAAAGGTGATGAATGGGTCGAAGGGATGACTGATCTTCTCTAGGAAGAGACAAGTAGGTAAATAGTAACGGTAGAGGTAGAGGTAGATGTTACATGTGTTAAAGTTATGAGCTTGAGCGAAGATGGAGGTTGTAGCGGAATCAGTGTTGGCGGTTAGACCAATGCAGTAAGTCTTGTATGAGGTTGTGAGAGGAATATCCAAGTGGAAACAATTGTATTTAGATGTATGGTTCAGAGTAAAACGGAGATGATTAGAGTGAGGTTGCGTGTTTGCATATCTTATCAACTGTGGTTTTTGACCAGTATTTATCAATCTCCATGGATCGTAAGTTATGATCCATGCGGATGTAGATCTATGTACATACACACATATGGGCCAGGAATATAAAGCTAAATACATGTGTATTGGTCATAGATACGAGAAAACTATAACCTGCATTTGAGACAGTCATCTGCTGGAATGCTAGTGTGAAATAAACGCTAATGCGCATTAAACTTTCGGTGAAGGATGTACTGATAACAGTGATATAGAATGGGGAATTTGATAGTCAAACTAGCCGGACTTACTAATAAGTTATTCTTGGCATTCCAAGACATATCATATTTCAACAGTAACAGCCTCAAACAATGCCTCATTAGAGACAGGGCATTGACGTCTTGCTCACACAAGCTTTAAAAATATTCCTTGCACCAAAGATATGGTAGAGGGCTTAAACAATTGTGAAGAAAAAAATTCTCCTAATTCTCCTATCTCTCCAGTGTCAGTAATTGGTGACGCTTGTGAGTTAGGAACACCAATTGAGCACAAGCAAAAATATATTAGAAACAAAGCAACAGATGCTCTCGCTTGTATCCACGTAGATGCGTTCCAAATTTCACCTGAGGGCTTAAATAATCACAAGTATGAAATGATTTTAACCGACAAGGCTACATCAGAACATTGGGGATATACTTTTAGTACAAAAAATACAGCCTTTTGTCACAGGCTCATACCTGGTTATCATTAGGCTGCTGCCTAACAAATAAGGCTTGAACTCTTCTAACCATATTAAACATTGTACATATCATGAACCCCTCCACAATTCATTAGACTCATGTATAGGCCTTGGCCCAGTTCATGCAAATCTATTCTTAAATGACAAATTTAGATTGCAGACAGGACGATTCGAACACCAGGTGTGAGTCATCTAAGCCACATGCATCATAACTATTTTAATAACTAAAATTACTAACATTAAAATGAAGCTGAATCAAAATAGACGGAGATGCTGGTGTTTGTTGGAGGACAGGTCATGATCTATTTTGAGAATGGTATGAATTTAGGGAACGAGATCATAGTCTTATAAATAAATAGGAGGCTTTCAGTCATGTTTCTGCTCTTTACTTTAAGATTTTCATTTGTATCTATCTCTGAGTTTAGTTTGAGTAAAACGCCACTTTAAGACTGTCACAACTTTGTTATCTTGCGGGTAAGAGGCTTTTAGCCATTAAATTCAGCAAAAGTGAAAATGGCGAACTCTACAAGCTCTATGGATACTTTGTTGTAATGTGTGGTCTATGAGGATTACATTAGATTAGAGTGGCAGCTATGTTGGTTGATATTCAGTGCAGGGACAACTCAATCTTGTACATAGGAAAATTCTTCTCCTCATAAGATCAATATAGTCTTCAATATACAACAATCAGACCACAAGGCTATCACGTCCTGCGCATAATGCTAAACAGGAACTTCAGCTCATTGACTACTGTAAGCTCATAATCACAACATACTTGGATGCCAAATTTGCCAATTTTAACAAATCAGGATTTAAATCACACTCAGGCTGGCTGTCCTTCTTCAGCGGTGGAGTAATATCATTGTCTTCAAAACTACAAACTCCAAACTACAGTCGCACTTTCTACCACAGAATCTGAAATATATGGACTCTGTATAGCTGCTAGAGAGGCCGCATGGATTCAAAAATTGCTGAGAAACTCAAGATATAGAGAAACTGACAGTAAGAGAGTAAAAATATACGCGGACAATCAAGTTTCAATTGACCTGATGTCAAACCCCGAGCTACATCAATAAAGCAAGCATATTGCAGTCAATTGGTGGTATATTTGACAGCAGGTGGACAATCATGAAGAAATCTTTAATTACTGCAATACCAAGCAAATAACAGCAGATGGAATGACTAAGCCTCTTGGGAGAACTAACCATCGAAGCTTTGTCAAACAGCTAGGGCTTCACGAGATAACTGTATTTCGTTAATTCGGAAACCACCTCAATATTAACATCAACCATGAGGGGTGTGTTATGGATATGGCGTGATGTTGATATAGTCACGTGAGATAATCGACGCCTGTGTAGCCATGGTTGCTTTGTTGTTCACTGTTGAGCGGATTGGTTTGCAAAAGCTTGTGGCTGTTAGGCACAGATTGTATCACTTGGTGAAGCGAGTGGGAAAGTAAAGGAGTCTGTAAATCTGTTGTGGAGAGTTGTTAATTACACCCACTAGGACACAGAGTGCTATATGAACTATATTTCGTAATAATAAAATCTAGTGGTTGGTATATACGTCAAAGCGCATTAATACTAACCTCACAATTAATGGGAGATTTGTGACGTGTCTTCTACACATCCCTGTCTTTACCATAATTAGAAGCACCAATTTCAACAATTTGATCTTCAAATGTACGTGTTGATGAAAAATGCTCCGTTAGCAT